GTGTGGTGGGTGGGTTTGTTGGTCGAGGGTTGCTTTGTGCGGCACATTTTCTGCATTTGGTGATCGGTGTTCCGCAGGTGTGCGTTGGAATCAGGGGCTGCCTTTTGTTCTCATGTTGGTGTTGACCCCCTCGCTTGCGCCGTCTCAAGCCGAGCAGCGTAACCCAAGTGCGCTAGCGAATCCAATTGCACTGGGGTTATGCCGCCCACGCACTCTTCAGTGCGCGTCCCGCGGTGTTACTATAAGTGGTGCTATGCGTGCCTGCCAGCTCAGCGGCACAGGTCTGACCTGCACTCACGTGAGCCAGCAGCTGCCGCACAGCCGGTGTCTCCCCGGGCCCTTGCAGCTGCTTGTGCGTGCATGCGCTGGCGTGTGCCTGCAGCTGCTGGCAGCGCATACAAACGTGACCCAGTCGGGTTTGCCCTGACAGGTGTTCACAAGCAGGCACGGGTCTGCGTGCAAGAGACTGCAAGCCATCCTTCCCTTGGCACTGGTACCCCCAAATCACCCATGCAAGCCCCGCACTGGCCCCAACCTCACTTCAATCCCCGCAAGCACCACGCGCAATCACGCACGCACGCACGCACTCACGCACGCGCGTGCACGCGCACGCACTTGCACACACGCACACGCACATACACATACACACACGCTCGCGCACACGCACACGCCCACATACACACAAACACACACCCACACACATTCTCCAACAACCCGTAACGCACTCACGCATCACAAACACATCACGCATCCTGCCCAGGACGCGCCTGGCCCTCGAGGGCCCCGACCCCCTGGGCCTCTTCGGCCTCCGCCCCGTGGTCATCACAGCCACCCTGCTGTCCCTCACGCCCCCGCGGCCCCCACTGACAGCGGCCGCGCCGAGGGCGCAGGAAGAGCTCCAGGAATGGGAGGAGGGGGGCGGCGGGCGCGGCGGCGGCGGCCGGTGGGGGTGAGCGTCGCGGCGCCGCTGGTGGGGTATCCCGGCTGTTCCGCACTCATCACTGCTGTTGCTAAACCTCGTGGCAGGAGAGTGTGCATTCACAGCTTGTTTTGCCAGTCTGAATTGAGATGGTTGACCGAGTCTATCTCTGGAGGACATGCATCGGTCCTCAACGCGCTTCCACGCCGCCGCCGCTGCCCCCTCCCGCCTCGCCTCCAGCCGCGGCGGCCGCGGCGGCGGCCGGGCCGGCTACGGGCGGCGCGACAGGCGGCCGGACCCTCTGGGTGCGCTGTTCCAGCCGCCCCTCAGGGCACAGGCGGCCGCGGTGGCGGGTGGCCTAGTCCAGGTGTTGGGAGCGGAGAGCCTCGTGCAGATAGGTGAACGGGCGGCCGGGCGGGGGCCGGGTGCATGCTGGCCGATTCAGGGGCTGGTGGACCCCATTCTGCTCAGGGCCGCTCATCTTGTTGGCTTTTGCCCCTGCATGCCCAAGCATGCAGATGAAGGGTGGGTGTCTTGAGCGGCAAAGGGCTCGGAATGCGCCGGCGACGCCTTGGTTGATGGAGGTGGCAGACCTCCTAACTCCGGGCAGTCTTGATCCCACGGCAACAAGCACAGCTTCAACACAAATTGCCGTGGGCCTTTGCACGCAGGCGGCGACAGCGGGCACCTGATATCGGCGCTGCTGAAGGACTGCGCGTTCACGCCCCTGAAGCGGGTGGCCGCGGTCGACTGGGCCATGGGCCGCCTGAACCGCACCGTCGCCGCCGTTGAGGGGGCGCTGCAGTGCAGCACCGTGCTGGTGGCCGGGAAAGAGGCCGCAGCGGCCGCCGCGGCCGCGGCAGATGCCCCCGCTTCAGCAAATGGCATGCAGCCACCTCGGCAGGAGCTGGCACAGGTGGGAGCATTGAAGGACAGCGGAGGCGGGGCCAGCGCGGTTGAGCAGGCGCCGACGGCAACCATCGTCTCTGGTGTCACCGGGCCGCCTGCCGTGCCCGGCGCCTCGCTGCCTCCTGCGGCCACGTTGCAGGTGCCCCAGCGCACCGGCGGCCTGGAGGGCGTGTCGTCACTGCCGCTGTCTGTCGAAGACAGCTGCGCAGGCGGCAGCAGTTTGCAGAGCCTTGACGCGCCGGGCGCCGCCGCCGTGCCCGCTGCCGGGCCGGCGCCCGCGGAGCCGACTGCAGTCGACCCTGCCGCCGTGGGGGCTGCTGACGCCGCCGCAGCGGCCGCGGCCGCGGCCGCCGCGCCGTGGCGCGCAGAGCTGTCTGCGTTCGAGTGCGATATTGACAACCCGACCCTTGCTGCGGCCGCCAGTTGGGAAGCTGCAGGGCTGGCTGGCTGTGACGTGTGCGTGATGTCAGAGGCGGTCGAGCAGATGGCGGGGCAGAGGGAGGCGTCTGAGTCGCTGATGAGGGCGGTGATGCGTGGGCTGAGGCCGAGGGTGCTGCTGGTGACGACGCCAAACAGGTGACCGAAAGTGATGATTGTTGGGGTCATCGTTGGGTTGCATCTTATCCATTGCATTGCATTGCGTTTTGCTGCAAGCGCGCTGCGTGCGTGCACAGGTCCCGTTTCTAGTGCATTGGCTCGAGACCTTCAGCAAAAGTTCCTGCTGCTTCCCGCCGATGCTCGCACCCTGGCGTCCCCCCTCGAAAACCTGTCGACCCCGCACGCCCACCCACCCCCAGGGACTTCAACGCCGTGATCCAGGAGCTCGCGGGCCCCTCCGCCCTCCGCGGCCCCGCCGGACCGGGTGGCGCGCCGCTGCGCTTCGGCTTTGACCGGTTCGAGCTGACAGCGGCGGAGTTCTCAGAGTGGGCGGCGCATGCGGGCCGCGAAAGCGGGTACCAGGTCGCTGTGTTTGGCCTGGGCCGCGCCCCCGGCGACGCCGAGAGCAAAGCCGCCGCCGCGGCCGCCGCCTCCACCGCGGCCGCCGTCGACACACGGCGGGCAGTCAACAGCGGCTTGGCAGGGACTGCTGGGACGGATGCGGGCGAGTCAGAGCCTGGGGCAGCCGGAGCTGGTGCGGCGGCGGTGACGGCGGAGGGGCTGACGGCTGAGGTGCTGCGCGCTAGCGCGCCGGCTGGCGTACCTGGCGGCCAGGAGCCGCTGCACGGCGTGGGGTTTGCCCAGCACGCCGCACTTTGGGTGCACAGCGCTGGCAGCGCCGGCATGGAGACGAGAGGGGAGGAGGGCGCGCAGGCGCCAGGGGGTGGTGGCGCGGCCAGCGGTAAAGCGCCCCTGCGGCGCTTCTGGGGGCCGCTGCAGGTGGCTGCTTTGCTGCCAGGCGACCGGGAGAGAATGCAGGGCAGTGGGGGGGATTCAGCAATGCCCGATGTGTTGGAGCAGATTTGAGAGGGTTGCAAGGGTGCGGGTGTGCTCGGGACATTGCGTGCCGTGCTTTAGCAGGAAGTGCTTGCTTGAATGCAAAGCATGGAGTGCGACTTATCAAGGTGCATAACAATGTGAGAGGAGTCAACTGAGTGTGTGCGCTTTGCAAAGATGAGTCGATGCAGTTGTGTGCCTGGTGTGCTGCCGCAAGTTCGTGTTGATTTGGAGCGCCTGCGTGACACGCATCATCAGCAGCGTGACTGCAATTCCAGCATCCGCGTGGATGCTGTGAACCGCTGCTACTCAATCTCAACAACACGGCTCTGATTATCAGGAAAGTTGGTGTGGGCATGCATGTAAGCGAACCGCCCGCGTCCAATGAAGAAACTGGCAGGTATCCATGGTGTGGGGAGTCGCAGCGCAGCGGCAGCAGACTCGTCGTCTTTTGAGCCAACCTGGAAGCACGAGCCGACGTGCCGCTGATCAGAGCTCCCGCTGCCATTGTGCATGCCACAGGGACTTTCCTGTCAAGTGGACGCATACACACACACACGCGCGTGCGCGCGCGCACACACACACACACACACACACACACGCGTGCGCGCACACACACACACACACGCGTGCGCGCACACACACACACACTCACACACACACACTCACACACACACACACACATGCATGTGCACGCGCACATGCGTGCACACACACGCGTGCGCACGCGCACGCCCGCACACATCAAGGTCGACGCGTGGCCCCACCTGAGCCCCCTGCCGCCGTACGCCTGCAGTCTGCCAGGCCTGCTTGAGCGCCCAGAACCCCGTACGCTGTTGCCGCCCCCGGCCCCTCGACATCCGGTATGGGCGGGCCCAAGGTCTGAGGCCACCAGGTGGTGGCCAACTGGCGAGCGGACTCACAACTGGCGCCAACATTTAGGGTGGGTCTGCCGGTAAGCAGTTCTATACACCGACACTGCCTGCAGCGCCGAGCGGCGCGGAGCGCTATTGTCCAGGGCGCTGTCAGTGCTGCCCAGGAGGGATGAGGAGCGCACCCTTCGTGGCTGTGCTCCTCCAATCGGCACAAGACTCTGGATTCCTGCATGCTAGCCCATGAGGTGGTTGAAAGAGTTACAGTCGTCGGTGCTTATGCAGCGCAGGCAGGGTTGATTCGTTGGTATGTAGGCACGACCTCAGTCACAAGGACCTGGCCGTCCTGGGATGTGTTCGTGGCCGGGGGGGTCGCCGCTCTTGTAATTTACTGTGAGTGTTGTGAGGAAGTCAAGGAAGCACTGGACATCGTAACCAAGCAGTTTGTTGATGTACAGTATACAAATGGAATGTGTCAAAAGGTATGCATGCTCAAAGCAAAGGCAGGTGTGGAATCAAAGCATGTTGATTCTGCATACATGTTCACGAGCAGTAAGGCGCCCCTGAGGCCAAGAGCATTGGCGGTGGCACCGGTCATGAATCACACACGATTTCTGCCATCCTGCTGTCGCCGCCTCTGCGACTACCGACATTGGTACAATTATGTGCGCCGCGGCTTTGGCGGCGGGGCCGCCGCTGCTGCTGCTGCTGCTGCTGCTGCTGCTGCTGCTGCTGCTGCTGCTGCTGCTGCTGCTGCCGAGGCTGCTGCAGCTGCTGCCGAGGCTGCTGCAGCTGCCACCGCTGCTGCTGCCGCCGCATTGCTGCTCTACTTCTCGTAGGAGCATAGTAGCAGACCTGCTGCTCACGCACTGCTGCTGGTTTGCAGCTGTTTGCTTTGTTGCTGCTGCTCTGCTGCTGCCACGCAGCTGCTGCTGCTGCTCTGCTGCTCTGCTGCTGTTCAGCTGCTGTCGCGCAGCAGCTGCTGCTGCTGCTCTGCTGCTCGTCTTGCTGGACCTACAAGCTGGACTCGTCGTTGCCATCCTCACCAAACCCTAAACCCTCAGCCTAAACTCTTGTCGTTCAAAGGAACCGCCATCTCCATCTCAAAATCTGCCGCCTGCCCCACCAGCTCCTCATGGCACGCCGCATCCAGCTCCCACCTTGCATTCTGCTGCTCAACCTGCTGCCGCCGCCGCAGCGACCGGCGCGGCCCCTGCGCCCGTTGCACGCGCTCCACCAGCCCAGCCAGGCGCACCTGGAGCAGCAGGCGCGCCGGGACCAGTAACACCGGCGCGTCCTCGGCTGGATCAGCAAACCCGGCGCCGGCGCCGGGAGTCGGCAGCTCCACCGCCGGCAGCTGCGCCGCCTCGAAGCAGTGCTCGCCGTCTGACACCCGTGCGCCGCCGAGCGTGCCGGCGCCGGCTGCGAGATCGTCGCGGCCGGCGTGCCGCACCGCGCTGCGCACCTCAAGCACTGCATATCCGCTGAGGCTGCCGCTCATGTCGGCCACAGCGACGCGCATGCCCTGCAGCAGATGCACCTGGGCCAGCCGCTGCGGCGGTGCCCCTGCTACTCTCCTTCTGTCATCCCCGCTGCTCTCATCGCTGCCGTTGTCCTCCTCATCACGATTGCGGCGGTCGCGCTCCCGCGTCTGCCGCTGCCGCTCCGCCGCTGCCCTGGCCTCCTCCGCTTGCTGAGCTGCTGCTGCAGCCCGCTTGGCCTGACCGGCCTGAATTTGTGCTGTGATGGGGTTGGGTGCAGCTCCCGGTGGTCGCGGTTTGCGCCCAGCGCCGATCCTGGCACCACCCCTGCCTGGCATGGCGGTCACGGGCACGAAGGGCGCGTGTTTCAAACTGATGCGCGGCAGCCGCCACCCAACCGCCGCCAGTGTGCTGCGCTAGTCCCTAGGCAGGGATCAGGTTTTACGGGCAGGTGTTTGTACATAATTTTCGCACGCCGGCGCTAGCAAACAGGTTTGGGTTTCGAGGGCGATCACAAGCTGACGTCGGTTATCGCATTTACCATTTTCCTAAACACTATTCAAAGTACCTTGTATCACCGGTACGCTGACGTGTCGTGGATGAGTGACGAGATCACATTTTGAACTTGGATCACGCGCCAGCCTGTGCATTGTTCGGCACCATGGCTACCGAGCCACAGGCTTTGATTGATTTGGCAGACTACTGCGCTCCCCGTACTTCAGGTGCGGTCCGGCCACCAGGCGGCAGCAGCAACACGACTCGAGCTCAGCACTGCGACTGCACCGCTGCTCTTGTGCGTGCGCACAGCCTCGCGTGCGGCTGTCCAGCCTCCTCGCTGTGCGGCTAAATTGCTCCACCTGCAATCTTGCAGCAGCTGAAGATGATGACGATGCAGACTTGTATGCGGGGCTGTGCGATGTCGGCGACATATCTGAGCGCTTCCAACGGGAGCGGCTGGCGGAGGTGCGCCGACCTCAACGCTGCCGCAGCAAGCAAGCAATTGTTTGCACGAGCAATGTGACTAAGTGCCTGCGTCCAAGTCCACATACCAAACAAACCCAATGCCTGCCGAGGGCCCCGTGGGGCGGGGGGGGGGGTGGCGCACTCACATACGATTCTCTGCTGACGAATGGCTTCATCCCCCTCGTGCGCAGCTGGAGGGGCGCGTCGAGTCGCAAAAGCAGGAGCTTGATCAGTTCAAGGGGCGGCTGGAGGAAGCAGAGGGCCAGGTGTGAGGGTTGTGCCAGGGCTATGTTGTGGTCGGACACGCGTGTGCCTTGCAACCTCTTTGACACACCCTATCTTTGTGGGTTTGCACTCACACCGCGTGTTTCTGGCATCGGCATGGTCATGCAAGCACTCGCCTAGACCCCTTGAAGATCTTCCTGACCCACGATCGCCCAAGACTGCAACTCGCGCTCACACCGCCGCACCCCAACGGCTTACAACCGTCCTCCGCCAGTTGAAGAAGCTGCAGTGTGAGAGGCTGGTGCTGCTCACCAACATGTCAAGCCTCTTCAAGACGGCGCAGAGGGAGATCAAGGCGAGGTCGAACGAGCTGCAGGAGGCACGGCGGGAGATCTTCGCGCTCAGGGCGGCGGGCGGCGGCGGCGACGGTGCTGGCGCGGGCAAAGGCCGGCCGCAGCAGCACTCAGCAAACCCGCCACAGCCGGTCGCGAAGGGGCTGGCTGGCTCTGCTGGCCGAGACGGCAGCACAGGCGGTGGCATCGGCGGCGGTGGTGGCGCAGGCAAAGGCCGTCCTCAGCAGCCCTCAGCAAACCTCCTACCGTTGGCCGTGAAGGGGCTGGCTGCCTCCGTTGGCCGAGCAGATGGCAGCACAGGTGGTGGCAGCGGCGGAGGCGGCGGTAGCTGCATTCCCGCCAGTCAGCAGGGGCCCGGAACCGCGCGGCAGCAGCCGCCTGCTGCCAGCAGGCCCCCGCCATCAACCCATGAGCGGCGCCACGACGGCGCAGGCCCGCGTCAGGACACCAGCAGCGGGGGTCATCACCGCGACAAGGACAGACGGTCACCCTCGGGCCCCGCAGGTGACCGCCGACAGCAGGAGCTGCAGACGCGGGATCGCGTGTCGCAGGAGCATGAGCGCGGCGGGCAGCAGGAGGGGCGGCGGCGCGAGGAGCGGGACCCCGAGCGGGGCAGCAGCCAGCAGCGGCAGCCGACCGGGCAGGAGCAGCGGGGGGAGCGGGGCGGCGTCAAAGACGACAGGAAGGGCAGCAGTGGTGTTGGCAGGGACGGCAACAGGGATCCTTTTCTGCAGGACCGCAGCAATCGGCGGAATGAGGGCCAGCGGGACTCTGCTTTCTGCCACGCGGAGGGTCACCGGGGCGAGCGGCAAGCGGCAGGGCAGGCCACGGCCAGCTATGGGCGGAAGCGAAGCCGCTCGCCGCGCATGAGGGATCGCAGCCCCAAGAGAAGATGATGTCGCAACGCGCCGTGCAGTGGCGCTAATGTACCCTTTCCCTCTTCTGCTCAATTCTTGTCATGCCCATTTTTGTGTTTTTGCCGTTTATTTGTCCATTGTCAATCGTACCTGTGCCTTTCTTGTCAGATGGCCATGCCGCAACGCTGCTGTGGTCAGCCCTTCATAACCAATGATGGATGAGACCCAGAGTGGTGCACATGAGCACATGTGTGTATAACATTGCACAGAGAAAGTCAATGCGACAATCTGTACAGACCGCACACGAGAAAATCAACTTGACCCATCGTCAATCACCGCCCGCCGCCGCCGGCTCCGCGCCCGCCGGCAGTCCCTGCAGAGCCACTCGCCCTCAGGCGCAGCCGCAAGGCCCACGCAGAACAGGTGGAAGGCGGCGGGGCAGCCGTCGCACAGCAGCAGCTCCCCGCCGTCGCCGCAGGCCGCGCACTCGTCCTCGTTGCCGTCCTCTCCCTCGCTGCTGCCACTGCCGCTGCCGCTGCCGCTGCTACCGCTGCTGCTGCTGTGCTCAACGACCATGCCGCCCGGCTCGCTCCTGCCCGCCCTGCTGCCCTCGTAGTGGCCCATGCGCTGCCGCTGCCCGGCAGCGCCCCCTGCGCAGCTGCCACTGTTCCACAGCACCGCGACCCCCGCGCCGTCCGCCTGCCGCCGCCGCCGCTGCCGCTGCCCTGGCCGCTCCTGAGGCTCCTGTCCACCTCCTGGCCGCTGCTGGCGCAGTCCCGCAGCCCCAGCAACCGGCGCCAGCTGCAGCTGGGACCACTGCCGCGCGCCATGCCACCGGCCACGGCGCGCTGCGCCTTGCCTCGGGATGCCTCGGGCCCCCCGCCCCCTCTCATCTCCTGTGTCAGTGTCCTCCCCCCTCAGTGTCATGCCAAGTGGCTCCTCGTCCTCCTCCTCCTCCTCCTCCTCCTCAGCCTGCTCGTCTTCCTCCTCCTCCTCCTCCTCCTCCGCCACCCCTTGCATGTCCCCCAGCCACCGCTGCCGCCGATGCTGCTGCCGTTGCTGCTGGTGGTGTGCAGGCCGCCGTTGAGGACGTACCAGGTCGCGTATGTTGTAGCCGCCCGCGGGGGTCTGGCTGAGCATCATCCGCTGGTAGAGCGCGATCTCGGGGGTGGACCTGCAGTTGGGAAGGTGAAAAGGCGGTTGGGCAGATGAGATCTTGTGGGCAAGACTGAAACTGTTGTGATGAATACATGTGCACGTTCTTGGCGCGGCAGGACGCAAATTGTGCATCAGCGAGGGCTTCGTGGGGGCGGACAAGCGACCGCGTGTCATTCGTTCAACTTGCGATTTCGCTGCGCGTGGCAGGGGCGTGTTCCCCGGCGGCCTGATGCATCCGTGCGCGCCGCATCCTCAGAACCCACCTGCGGGCCGCGCCCGTCGTGCGAGGCGTGGGGCTGCAGCTGTTGGCGATGAACCCGGACAGGTCTGTGGCGCCGTCCTCGTCCTCCTCGTCAGCAGACGCGCCAGACACCGCCTCGGCCTCGCCGTCAATGAAATGCGCCCTGCGTTTTTGAGGGGCGCCCGGCATGCAGTGTAAGCAGTTTGTATGTTCTGCACACGCAATGCTGCCAGACACTGCAAGCGGAGGGGTTGCTGGACGGCAAGTTGCACGCAGACTCATCGCCCTAGAACAGCCAGGCTCTCGTTGCTCGCTGAGCCGCAGGCACGACGCCCGTGGTGACGAGGACATCAGCAGGGCGTAAACCAAGACGTAGCTGAACGCGGGCGCTCACCCTTCCCCTCGCGCCCTACGCGCCGGCCGCCTGCCACGCTCTGGCCGCTCTTGCCGCCGCCGCCGCCTTGGAGGTGGTGGGGGCGTCTGCTCGAGCGCCTGGGCGCGCCGCCCGTACCGCAGCCGCTGCGGACCGGCCTGTTGCCGCGCCGGCGCCTCGCGCCCTTCTCCTGCAGCCACCTCCTCGTTGTCTACCACCGAGTGCCACCTCCTGCGACCGACCCCAACTCCAGCGTTGCCAGTGCCGCCATTTTCGTGCCCAGGCGTGTCCACTATCACCGCCCGCCTGCCGCCGCCTCGGACACGCTGCGCCAGCGGCTCTCCTGCCGCGGGCTGCACCCTAGCAGGACCCTCGTCGCTGGCGTCGCTCTCGTCGCTGATGACGGCCGCCGCGCCGCGCGCCCGCTTGACGCGGCGCTTAGCCGCGAGGCCGGTGGACGGGGGCTCCGACTGCTGGTGCTGCTGCTGCTGCTGGTGCTGATGCTGCTGTTGCTGCTGCTGGTGGTGCTGCTGTGGGAGCTGCTGATGACGCTGCTGCTTGGGGGGACTTTGTGAGCTGGGCGTAGGTAGGCGCGGCTTTGAGGCCACAGAGGGCTGGGGCTTGCTCCTGGGTGGGGGGCCTGTGCATGGGGGTGGGTGGGCTCCAAAG